GTTTAGGGTTTCGGGTTTAGGGAACTCGTTCAAGGTTTACAGGTTCAAAAAAGCCTGCCGTTTTTGTTTGAAGGTGCATGTTTGGGGGAGTGATGGGTAGAGCAATGCCAGTTGCCACCCCTTGTAACTCCGCTCGCAAAGCTACTTATAGTCTCCATTGCAGCTCCGTTACTTGGTTTCACCAAGTGTGTATATATATATATATTCTCAGGATCCTGTTAGGTAACCCTCAAAAGGAACTACAATGGAGACCCCAAGCTCTAAACCCTATAAACCCTACATGACTATATTATGGGTTTAGGGTATAACCCTAAACCTTACTAAACCCTAAACCCTATAGGGTTTAGGGTATAACCCTAAACCCTAAACCCTACAGGGTTTAGGGTATAACCCGAAAACCTAAACCCTAAGCCCTATAGGGTTTAGGGTGGCTTCTTTGAGAAGTGCCCAGCCCAGCCCGCAGATTCCAGGGGCCACGGCCTGCTGAGAGGTTGTAGGGTTTAGGGTTTAGGGTTTGGTGTTTAGGGTTTAGGGTTTAGGGTCTAGGGTTTAGGGTTTAGGGTTTAGGGTCATGCGGGCAGTTCTCTGAAACTTTGGGTCCCTTGCGGGGGTCTCTTTTGTAGTTTAGGGTTTCGGGTTGGGGGTCCTTAAATGGGGATTTCTAAGGGTTTCTATAACAAGGGTACACTAAGGGTAGTTCTCTAAATTCGGGTCCCTTTTATAAGGGTGCCGTACTGTATTGGGGACCTAACGAGGGAGCCATAATTCAGAGAACTACCCATGTTGGCGCATCATCCCAAACCCTAAGCGGGCCTTGAGGGTTTAGGCTTTAGGGCTTCGGGGTTTCGCACTTCCTTCCATGAAAACCTGATGCCCAATGACCCTTCGGGGAACCCTACCATCTTCGACCCCGAGACCCTCATGTCAGCTTCATTCTTTAATAACCGGGTTTAGGGTTTAGGGTGTAGTGACCGAAAGTTGTATCAACAACTATCCTATACGGCCATATAGAGCCATGTAATTAAAGCGCCAAGATAGCTCTAAACCCTAGACCCTAAACCATAGCGCCAATCTCGAATGCCTGAGGTGATTGATTACACTGAGTTTGTGGCAGCTTGCTTGGATCACAAGGCTGACCAAACTCAGAGCTTCTGGAGTCAAGGGTGCTACGCCTTTTCATCTTGTAAGGGTCTAGGCTTTTGGGTTTGGGGTTTAGGCTTTTGGGTCTAAGGCTTAGGCTTAGGCTTTTGGGTTTAAGGTTTCGGCTTTTGGGTTTAGGGTTTCATGTCATCGGGCCCTGGATTCTGCAATTGAGGGTGCCATGCTGGTGCCCATTATCTGCAACAGCTCCCACTTCTTGAGCCGCAGATGAGGTACAATCGGGCTGGGAGTTTGAGATGTCAAGTGGTGTGGGGACGTAGGGTTTAGGGTTTAGGGTTTAGGGTTTAGGGTTGCAGAACGCAAGGCTTAAGAGCAGAAGGGCAAGCCTCTGAGGAACTGTATGGGTAGTTCTCTAAATTAGGGTCCTTTGTGGGTCCTTTTTATAAGAGTGCCGTATTATATTGGGGACCTAAAAGGCGACCCTAATTGAGAGAGCCCCCTAAACCCTAAACCCTAAACCCCTAAAACAAGCCTCTCAAGAGTGTGGACAGGTGGAGCAAGAAGAGGGCATCTGCTGGGCCGCTTTTCAGGTCTTTGACAAGGACCTTTCGTTTGAGGGATCAGGATTCACAGTTCGGGTTGAGGGTTGATTTTGTTTAATCGTGAGGCAACTGGGCTGTGTTTCAGGTTTCGATTTTTGTTGGCCGGGTTTTCGATTCAGTTGTTTCGGCGATATGTGTTACAAGTTTGGGTCGTGTCGTTTTGGACGTGTTTGCATATACAAGCCTGGCAACCGATGCGTGCAGGCTTGCAGCGCATCAGATCCCGGGGCGTTGGACGCAGAGCTAGGCCTCCGGCAAGCTTGCCTCGTTGGTGCAACGGCGTTGGCTGGACATTCTCCAGGAGCAGACACGGATGATGATCTCGTGGACGGCTTCGACTTTCGCAAGAAGAAGGCTGGACTCGCGGAGTTTGAGATTTGCTCGAAGGCTTCGAGCTCTCGCGTTTTGACACTTTCGCAACTGGAAGCGCTGGTTCTGTGTGACGCTGTTATGTCGCAGAGGCACACAAGGTTCGATGGTCGCTCGAACGTCTGCAGCTTCATTCCGGCCACTTGCCCGTCGACAAGGAGGTCTTTGTCTGAGGGGCCAGCATCACAGCAGGCGAATGCATGCATTTGTCCAAGTGGTTCGCATGCGACGTGCACACTCGCAGGATCAGTCGGGAGATCGACTTGGTCGAAGTGAACATGTGCAATCGTCTGTTCAAGCCCACGGTTTTGCGACCGTGGGACTCGAGCACTGGCGTCTCGATTGAATCAGAATTCTTCATGTGTGTTAGTTACACTCCTTCGAGGTCTGTGTCTCTGATCTGATGCATGAAGGTGAGCTGCATTGCCTGATCTTTCGAGAGAACGGCGTCGTGTACCTGGCTTGATCTTTGTTGGGCTGCGTGCTGGCGGTACGGGTCTGCGGATGTTTCGCTTGTCTAGTATCTACACTTTCACGGCACTGTGTGTGTTTACTGTTTGTTCACGACTCGAACGCATGGCCATGATGTTGAGTTTCGTGTTGGGGTGGACATGCTGTGGTGTTCATGATTGAAGTCGTTCTGGCGCGGTACTTCTGTTTGACTAACGTTGCTTGCACGTTGGGTACATGGGTTGTTTAAACATGTCGTGTTCTCGTGGACTGAAGAATAGCTTGCCGTGGATCAAGGTATGGTAGCCGTCCATTGCTGGACTCACCTTCAGCTCGCTTTTTTGCTGGACGCGACGAAGACGCAGGCCAAGCTGGTGATGTGGTCTGCGGTCTGCTCTAGTCGGGTTATTCCTGATAGAGGTGTAGTAGTGTGACGGACGGATGAAATGTGGAAGCTAGTCACCCCTCGGGCCCTCGGGTTGGGTACACTGCAGGACGTCAGGCCTCGACCGTCTTGGTTGGATTTCATACTTGTAGCGTGCCAAAGTCGGTATATCACTGCTTCGGCTGGGCTGAGCTGCCAGGAGCAGCTCTACGCGCGCTTGCAGCTCTTGCTCACGCCTTGCGAAGATGCTGTGGCATGGGAGGGTGCTGACATCGACGTGCCGACAGAAGAGCAGTGCAAGAACGAGGCAGTTGATCATTTGGTATCCGTGTGCGCTTGTTTGTGTCTGCTTGGCCTGTGGGGTCCGGGTCGTCTTGTAATGTGCATTGCCTTCTATATTCCCTCTATACAAGCAAGCATATGCGTGCCCGTGTTTTCTGTTTTAAGGTGCCGTGACGACTGTGCATGTGAAGCTCGAGTGCACAGTTGCCTTTGCAGGCTGGTGAAGACTTTCGCGCTGGGCAGGCAGGGGAATGTCAAGCAAACCAGGTCATTGGTCCATGTCTTGAGTGGCGCTTCAGGCGGAAATCGCCCCCTCCGTCGCTTTAGGCATGGGCTTGTGGAAACGGGAGGAGTTGAAGCAGGTGGAAGCTTGGCAGTAATGTCAGAACTTGTTTTAAAAGTTTAAAGGGCGTCCTCCCTGAAAGTGCAAGTTTTTCTTGCAAGTCGTATGGATTACACAGGCCATGTGTTTCACATCAGTAGCTCATGTGCGTTGTCTCTAGGGCTCAGGGTCGGGCATCCTTTGGTGCACCCATCCGCATCGTGCGGAGGAGGGGAAGAGGAGAGGGGTTGGGGGGAGGGAGGTCATAGGAAAGAGGGTTTATTTCCAACACAGTACTGTAACGTTTTTGCAAGTTCTAGGCTAGCTGAACTTGAAGCCATGGCATCCTTTTTTGTTTGCCTCTGAGGGCGACTTGGTCTTCGCACCCGCCAAGATGTTCCGCGGGATCTTGCCGATTGCCTCCTTCGCGAAGCTGGTCCCGTACTTAACGGACCAGTGTGTATCAGACGGGATCGCCAACTGCATGCGCACGCTATGCCTGTGCGATTGTTGGTTGCTTGTACTTAAGGTGAAAGGCATGCTGCACTTAAACCAGTCCGTCACCGGACTCTTGATGCCCCCAGACTGCATCAAGACGAAGGAGAGCCGCGTGCCGGCGCATGACTGCACAGCGATCGGCCTCAACATGTGCAAGTCGTCTGCACATGCAATGAAGCCACCAGGCCAGTTTTGCATAGTTCCTCGTGAATCTTTCGGTGTGGTGTGTTGACGTCAACAACAGTAGTTTCTTGTCCTCTTCTGAGCCGTGCAATAGTTCAGGGGCCATGCGGTCGCCTTCTTGTGTTTTTTTTAGGATTGGGGTCCTTAGCGGCTTTGGGCTTAGGGTGTAGGGGCTTCGGGTTTAGGGCAGTGGCTGAGATGGGGAGAAGATGCGGTTGTTTCTCCTGTTTCTCGTTTTGTGTTGGTGGTGGTTCAGGGTTCGCTTCTACTGTTTCTTCTGTGGTGTGATGTTGCCCTAGGCCTTACACCCAAATGTGTTCCTTGCTGATTCTTTGCACTGCGTAATACAGGGGCCTTATACTAATTAGAATAGGGTTTTGGGGTTCCTTATTCTGTTTATAGCATGATATACCCCCAAACCCTATTCTACTTATTAAGGCACTTACATAAGTGTCCCTGATGTTATGCTTTGTAGTTTTGTCTTTGAATCCTTCGCCCCTTGAAGGTGAGATGTGGGACATAGGAGTATTTGAATTTCCCGGGCGGTACCCTAAACCCTAAACCCAAATATTACAGGTGCCTAAAAACTTGCCGAGACAATTTTGGGGTTTCTTTTTATAATTCTAGCACGATATACCCCAACACTCTCTTTCATATATGAAGACCCCTAAGCGCTAAACCCCTTATAGTCACCTTATAGGCCCCTTTAAATGAGTTAAGTGGAACCCTATTCTTATTAAGGCCCATATTTTACTTCAAGCTTTCGTTGCCCTCTGGTTCAGGGTTCAGGGGTTTTGAGTTTGAAGGGTTTAGGGTTTCGGGTGGACGCTGTAGGGTTCAAAGTTTGTTCGATTTGGGTGGACACTGTTCATCGGTAGGGCTCGGTTTCTGGAGTCTGCTTAAAGAACAACTAACTGGTTCTTGTCTTGACTTCTACCACCCTTCAACCCTTTCTACACTATTTAGGGCCCATGTTGAGGCGAGAATGTGTCGAAGCCCCCAAGTGAAGGTTTTGGTTTTCGTTCGCGGCTGGTTGTTCAGAGTTGATGGTTTTAGGGGTTAGTTGTACTGGGGGTGGGCGTTTGGCACGCGACGCAGAGGACTGCAGCGGCACAGTGACGTACGAAGAGCTCCAGCAAGTCTTGCAGCTCGGCTTTAGGGCTGAGGGTGTAGTGTTTAGGGACTTTGGGGTTTAGGGTTTAGGGGTTTAGGGTTTTGGGTGTTGGGTTTAGGGTTTAGGGTCTAGGGGTTTAGGGAGTAGCATCTAGGGTGGCTGGGATTCGTGTGCAAACTCTATGCTCTTCATCCCGCAAAGGCTATCCCCAGTGCCACATGTAATACTCGAAGGTTGAGGGGACTTACAAAGATGGCTATGTGGGTGTGTGGGTGTGTTTACCTATACATACACATACATACATGCACATATACATTTATATGCACATGCATATATATATATATATACACACACACATACACATACATGTATGTGTATATATATATATACATAGATATGCACTGTATACACGCTTACACTCTTGAAAATCACCACAGCGCTATTGCTGGATGAACAGCCAGCAAGCTTCATGGTTATTGTCTGAGGCTCCAGTAGTTCTGAGCACACTGTGATCCCAAAGGCCTTCCTGTTTGATAAGTGGGGGGGTCGAAGTCTATACTCGTACTTTGAGTCCTGTGGAGACATGGGTCTTGTAGTGCGTCCAAGAGTTAAGCAGTAGGTTTTGTAGGTCCCCATTTCTAGACTCGGCGTGACCTTGGGCACCGAAAACCCTACTCCTTCAGTTCTTGGCCCGGTACTAGCACCAAGCCCCAAGCCCTAACCCTAAACTTGGCCCTGTACTGTACTAGCCCTTCTGGTGTGCTCTTATACACGGAGTCGGAAGCGTCAAAACTGAGTGATCTCCAGTCTGTTCACAATCTCGGATACCTCAACCTGAACTGAGGGTTGGAAGCCAGAAAGATTGGACCCCAAGTTTTAAAAATTAACCCACTGGCTACAATGTGTTCAACAAAAAGCATCAACCCCCTTCCATTTTTTGTTAAAGTTACAAGAGCCTCTGTCGCGACCTTGCATAAGGGCCCTCCAAGCTCTGATATGACTCCGTTGTCCAACCCCGAATAAGTCTGACAACCCAGACCAATGAGTTACCTACTGGTGCTTAAGGAAACGGTGTCTAGTTTAGGGTTTAGGGGTTTGGGGTTTGGGGCTTAGGGGTTTAGGGTTTCGGGTTTAAGGAAGAGTGGTGGAAGAATACATGAGGACCTACATTGACTGTGAGAGGGGATCCACTCTCCCACTACCCGTTTATATTAACGTTTGTAGGTCTCACGGGGATTGTACTCTACGTGATTCAACTCAAAAGTATCGAAATTCATGGGCTCAGGACCTTTGCGGTTTTGCTTTTTCAGGGGCTTTGTTGGCGTCCCGGATTCATAGTTTTGAGTTTTTGTCGGCTTTGGGTTTAGGGTTTAGGATTTAGGGTTTAGGCTGTAGGTCTCTGGGATCGCGGGATTTGTCGATGATGCAGGAACAGCGCGAGCATGGAGGAATCCTTTTCGCCAGAGCTGCGGAAGCAGTGTTCGGGCACAGTTTATCAGATGTTGTTTGGTTTCGTTCGTGTTCCGGGTTGAGGGTTTCTCGACTCTCTGTGTGCGCTTGTTTCGCTTGTATTTATGTCCATACATCATACAGACACTCGTTAAGCTTCTCATTCTCAGCTTTACAATGCTTTATACATAGACGAAAGTGTTGTTTTTGTTGCCAAACCTGACTTATGTAACAATCATGACATACACTTATATATAATTGTTTGTTTGTTTACTTTCTATGTAAGCGGTGATTTTTAGATGTATGGTTGTATTTGTGTATCTATATGTCTGTCCCGAGCGATCTATCGATCAAACGACCGGTCTCTACCTATTCATCTATTCTTCTACCTATCTACCCGGAAGCTATCTGTCATCTGTCTATCTAGGCGCTTCTCTGTATATAGCAATCCATCCTTGCTCCTGTCTATATGTCCATCTATAATTGTCGTTTCTACCTATCCATCTATCTAATATGGTCTACCTTTCGTCCCTGGTCTGTGTCCTTATCGTCTTACTGATAATGGACAGCATACCGGCCAGGACTAGTAAGTTTCGCATTGCTGATGCGACTGTGTTTTGGGGTTCCGTATAATATTCATATTATAAAGGACCCGGAAACCCCTATTCCAAATATTAAGGCCCCTACATTACCCGAAAACGTTTCGGTTACCTCAGAGGCCTCAGCAATTTTGAAACCTAGTCCCTCAGTGGTCCAAACCTTCTGCTCACTTCTTGTTTGTGGATTTAGGGTTTAGGACATATTGGAGATTCAGAAGATGGGTGACTCTACTTGGAGGACAAGGGGACTTAGTAAGTAAGGTGGTAAGGACGTTGATTTGGAGCTCTAGTAGTGGTACTTTACTTTATCGGTCTCGGTGTAAGTGCCTTCGCTGCACGGCTCTACACCTAGCCCTGATTCTGGCCTACTTGTTAGCTTTCTTGATCCGCCAAGTAAGCCTTCCTCAACCCTAAACCTATAAACCCCTAAATCCTAAATCCTAAACCCCTAAACCCTAAACTCTATACCCTATACCCTAAGCCCTAAAACCCGAGACCCTAAACCCTAAACCCTAAACCCCTAAACCCCTACTAAACACTATTCCCTTATACTCCCCTTGTAGGAACCTCCAGAGGAATTATTCAGCATGAAAACATACCCACGCCCGTCTTGCATGAGGCTTTGGCAAGAGCTCACGGGCGGCGACGATGACAACCAGGCACACCCATCGTGAGATTTCAAGTTAGTTGTTGCTTTCATGTGTGTATATATACATATGTACTTACATACAGGCATACCTGCACCCATGCATACATACATACATGCATCCATCCATACATCCATGCATGCATGCATGCATACCATACACACATGCCATACATACATATCATACATACATATCATGTATGCATACATACACACCGACATACATACATACATACATACCTACATACATACATACATACATACATACATACATACACACATACACACATACATACACTCATACATACATACATACATACATACATACATACATACATAGAGTCAGATTATTTTGGAGCTTGCTTTTTGAGGTTATAGTGGGTGGTTTAGGTTTGCGACGCCAACGTTTGCCCTAAACCCTAACTAACCCTTAAGCCCTAAACCCTAAACCGTTTCGAATCCTTCAGACCTGTTAAACTTTGAGCCTCAGATTTGAACCTCTGCAACGCACGCTGAGTCGGAGTTTCAGAAACCCTACAACCAAGCCTCTAGACGTAGAATCATTGATCTTGGGGTCTCGCAAAAGGGCATATATATATATATATATATGAATGTATATGTATATTTACACATAGTAAATATATATATATATATATATATGCATATTCAGTTCTAAGAAGCCCATCGAGCCCTTATGGAAAGCCCCGTGAAAGTCGCAACATCCTGCAACGAACCAGTACACAACCCCAAAATCGGTCGATCCTCGACAAAGGCCCTGCACAAGGCCCTGCACAAGCTGCACTGCAAGCACGCACTCATTCCCCCAAAAGGGCGGGTTTAGGGCTTTGGGGGGATCCTCAGATGTGTTCGAATGGTATAGAGTGTAGGGTTTAGGGTTGAGAGAGTAGAGTTCCCGGTCATAGCAGAAATCCTAAACCCAGTCGGTGGTCGTGGACTTTGACCACTTCTTGGCCGCCCTTCGCCATGGGCCGAGCTTGAGTCAACCGGGTGTTCTGAATGAAGGGGTCGACTATAGGGGCCTTAATTATTAGAATAAGGTTTTGGGGGTTCCTTGTTATACGTATACCCCAAAACCCCATACTATTATAATCATTAAGGCCTCTATATTAGGGGTTGTCCTGATTGGTTTAGGGTTTAGGTTTAAAGGCCCGTAGGTTGAGAGCTTTGAGTCGGCCAAAAAAGCATTGTTTGTATTTCAAAGGCACAGGCGTCTTACGGAATATTGATACTTGAGGTTCCTGTTCATTCAGTTAGGGGTTTAGGGTCTAGGGAGGCACTTGGGGTTCCTGCAAACTCCATCAGGGGGGAAGTAAATAGGTTATGGGTGACCTGGTATTCAACATCGTCCCATATACGGCACCGATATATAGAGCTCTGCCAAAATATGGCCTACTTGCAAAACCCCACTGATCCTTCGAGTAACCCTCCAGTCTTCTACAGTCCTTATAATTGTTATATGGGTAGTTGACAAAGCCAAGGTTTCTTTTGGGGTCGTTTCTATAAGGGTGCCATACTAGATTGGGGACCTAAAATAGGACCCTAATTTAGAGAACTACCCAAATAACCCTGTCGCAAAAGGCGAACCCGTTACCTGCTCTTGCAAGCCAGTTGTTGCTGCATATACTCCACTTGGCCTAGAACAATTGTTTTCTGCACAAGCAAAACAAAGACACCTCCCTGACAATTGAAGGTGCTTTCCTGCATTGATGGCTATTGGGCTCTCTAGGTATGACTTTGCACCAAGTTTCTGGGTACCGGACCAGACCGTGAGTTAGTTTCACAGTTCAGCTGTGGGGTGTAGGCAGTACTACGGCTGATGATATATATATATATATATGTATGTTGCATTACCCATAGAAAGGAATATACCATAATTCCTATAGTTGAGCGTCCTTGAGGTAATGCGAGATTCATATCATCAACAGTACTACGGGCTACTTCTTGGGTTGCTCTAGCAGGGTTCTTACATGGGTTGCTTCTTGGTTCCCGACACTCTAAGGCCCAAACCCTGACTGTTGCTGTTGGGTTTTAGCGTTTTGGGTTGCGACACGCCTCAATGAGAAAACTCAGGCCCAGGCACTACAAGAAAATCAAAGCCCGTTGGGTTTAGGGCTAGGGTTTAGGGTTTAGAGTTTACGTTTTTGTGTTTGGGCCAGACGCCTTTAAAGATGTAAGGGCACACAACACCCAAGGGCATCCTACTACCATTTAGCACATGATGGCTTTTCTTGAGGTGGTTTTGTTTTTTGGTAATTATGTGTGTCTGGGTCAAAGCCAATCCGACTACACTCCCTTCACCCCCTGGGTGCCCGGACGATATAGACTTTGCCATACAGTACTTTGTCCCCCCTCTTAAGGCACAACAAGATACTGTACATAGCTTCGCCCTAAACCCTAAACCGTAATACGTCCCACAATCCCAAGCCGTTGCGCCACCGACATCCCGAAACCCAGACCCTGAAGCCTAAGCTTCCTGGACCCTACACCTCAACAGGTAGGAGAACTCAACACCCCAGAGGACTCCAATATATAGCCCAAAATCCTGGGGTTTAGGGTTTAGGGCTACTCCTGAATTGAGGCGGCGTGCGCGCACAGGACATCAAGGCTTGGCATGAGCTATGCGTTTCTCGCATTGGCGGTTACTTGTTTAAGGTACAAGGTTTTCCGATGTTTAGCGAGTGCTCAAACATAAATACCTGATTGTCCTAAATCCGAATCTTAGGATTGAGGGCTCTTCCCCTTACCCTCAAAGGACTCATATTTTGAGGCTTTTGGGCTCAAAGACCCTATTATATAAGGCTTTTGGGCTGTTTTGATGCTGAGGGTTCCGGGTTTAGCTGACAGACCTGGAGGTGCTGTCGTCGGGCGTTTGGTGGGCTTCCGGCTTGTGGTAGGAGCTGAACAGTATGCCTATGATACCAGAACCCTGATCCACAAATCACCCGTAGAAAGCCCAGCGTAGAAAGCCCAGCTTATAAAGCCTTCTAAGAACCCCCTAAACCCTAAACCCTTAAGAGACCCTAAACGCTAAACCCTAAACCCTTAGAGAGACCCTAAACCCTAAACCCTGTAAGCCCTAAACCCCTAAAGAGACCCTAAGCCGTGTATCATCCTGAAGCCTTTGTCTAGGGGGCTGAGTAGGTAACCTTTAACCTTTTGGTGCTTATATAACCCTACTCTAATTCAAAAGGTTAACCTCTTTTGGGCTTCGGTACTCAGCCCCTAAGTTGTCGAGCCTCGTTGTCCAGATTCCGATCTGAAGGAAGGTGGTGCGAAATGATTTAAGGTTTAGGGTTTTGGGCTTAGGGTTTGGGGTTTATGGTTTTGGGTTTATGGTTTAGGGTTTAAGATTTTTGGTTTAAGGTTTAGGATTTAGGATTTAGTGCTTAGGACAATGCTAGACGTTGCTGTAGAGCCCCCGCAAGACTGGCCGGCATCCCAGAAAGTCCAACGAGCCCTTGCAACGACTACATCACCTGCACTCGTCCTGGTGCGCAGAATATGCTGATAGTCCATGCAGAATACTCTCTCTATATATATATATGTATACATATATATATATATATATTAATCATATGTACGTATGTGTGTATATATATATATATATTTGTAAACATAATTGAATGTGTAGGGTCGAAGCACGACGGCTCGTTCTTAGTTCTACTGAAGGCTCCAAATCCAAAGCATTCCGAAGCCCTGCAACCCTCATCCGTGACCTCTAAAACGCACATCCTCAACCCTTCGCCAGCGGTTTAAGGGCTAAGGTTGAAGCCCCAGTGTTACAGGAGGTGTCAAAACCGGCACCGGCAGCGGCAGCACCTGCAGCTTCCTCCTTGAATGCGCTGCCCATTGCCAGGTGCAGCGGATGTCCCGGTGGCGGTTTCACCTAACACCATACTATAGAGGCTCCAATAATTACCTAAACGTTGGGGGGCTCCTTATTTTAGTTACAGATAGTATAATAAACCGTAAAACCCTATTCAAATTACTAATGTGCCTGCATTAGGGATCACAGTTTAGAGTTTTCGAAATGAGGGTTTAGGGGGTCTAGGGCATCCTAAAACTGAATTGAAAGAACTCCCCATACAGTAAACTCCGAGCCCTTCAACTCTAAGAAGCCCCAACTCAGCTTGGAAGCTCCAAAGCCCCTAAATGCAAGCCCGAACCCACCCTCCTCAAGAGCCAATATAGGGGCCTAAATAGTTTCAATAGGGTTTAGGGGCCAATTATACTGTACTTATAAGGAACCCCCAAAATGGTATTGGTAATTATTTGGGCTTCTCTGTTTTCCCAACAATATTTGCAAGCTAGCATTGGGCTTCAAAACACGACAAGACGAAACCGTACACACCAGACGGCCGAAAAAGGCCTAAACCCTCAACACCCACAAAAAAAAAAACGGCCTACACCCGAAATCCCAAACCCCACGAAACCCTGAATCCTAGACCTCAAGCACCTTATATCGTGTGGAAGCCCTATATACCCTAAACTCCCCACATGTAGTTTCCGTTTTGGGAGCCTTATAGAAGGTCTATATACCATACAGAAGCCTTATAGAAGCCCTATATACCCTAAACTCCCCACATGCAGTTTCCGTTTTAGGAGCCTTATAGAAGGTCTATATACCTTATAGAAGCCCTATATACCCTAAACTCTCCACCTGTAGCTTCCTTTAACCCCTAAACCATAGCCCTAAGCCCCTAAACCCTAAATCCTAAACCCTCAACCCTATGTACCCTAATCCCTAAACCCTAAACCCTAAACCCTAAACCCTAAACCCCTGTAGTTTCCTTTCAAGCCGCACCCGAAAGGCGTCAGCACGGCGCCGTGGCCTCCATGGGTTTGCCGATCAAGACCCGGGGCGCGAAAGTGGCGCCATCCCTGGGCCTTCCAATCAAGGCCCGTGGATAGGGTTTAGGGTTTAGGGTTTAGGGTTTAGGGTTTTAGGGTTTAGGGTTTAGGGTTTAGGGCCCTAAACCCTTAACCCTAAGTCTAGGGTTTAGGGTTTCAGGCCTTTAGGTTTTCAGGGCTTTAAGCTTTAGGAGTTTTAGGGTTTTGGGTTTTAGGGTTTTTGGGTTTACGGTTTTAGGGTTTTAGGGTTTTCGGGTTTAGGGTTTCGGGTTTTTAGTTGTAGCATATAATACCCCCCAATACCTTGTTCTAACTGTTAAGACCCCCTAGACTAGCTGGTCATGTTTGGCCATCGGCTGAGCAAGCAGTCGTGACCGCAGACGGAAAAAGGCCGCCGTGCTGATTCGTATAGGGTAGGACGGGTAGGAAACTTGGGAAATTTGCACCCCATTTACCTCTCTGAAAACCTAAATGCGAAGACCCTGCCAATGCCTAAGACAACGCAAGTCGCAAAGCCTATAAAGCCTTAGAGATTCCTTCGTGATCCGGGATACCCAGGAAACCATTAATTAAGGACTGTACCTGAAGCCGTGTTCGGGGTGTTACCAAGGCTGACGAAGTTTCCTGGCTAAAAAGCCCAAACGTTCGTTTTTGTTTGGGTTCTCTGACTGGGTGTGTAATAACAACGACGATGAAGGCAAGCAGAGCTTTAAGGATCCAGGGTCATGGGAATGGGAAGGACTTACTTGGAGGTTCATGGAACTTGGTAGCTGGAGATGTAAGTAAGCCAGCTATACTCATAGTTACTTGTAAGTGTCACAAGGTACTTATAACTTATAGTCTTACTTGCTAAGTCACGTGATCCTCCCAGTAGGAGACATGTCCCTAAACCCGAAACCCTAAACCATGCACTTGGCTTTTGGTACCGCTATGAAACCGGGTGACAGTACCCTGAACTCCAAGCCGCACGCAAGGTGTTTAGGGGTTTACCTTAATTAAGTATACCAGAACTTCCTTTTTTGTAGGGTGCCTATAATTTCCATATTCCTATGGGGGTGTTAATAAGAACCTACAGAAACAGTAGGTTTGGTGGGCGAAGGTAGGGTTTT